AATTAGCTCACGCTTAGTCCTCCTATTTAGCATCAAACATCTGATGTGGCAAGGACTAAACTTTAGCCCAAGGATATCTCTTGTAGCTTCAATTCGAGCCTTGCAATTTGCGAGTTCGTTTGATGCGCATATGTATGTATCCGATAAGTCCAGCAATGTGACCCCACAGAGTTTGTGCTGGAAGCAATAAAATATGTACAAGGTCAACTGGTCGATCCTCCCGTTTGGATCCAAAGTATTTTAAGAATTCATTTTGTTTAAATAAATCTCACAATCATAAAATCATATTGACTTCGATGTTTTAGGCACTGCAACAATTACTACATGTGGGTACACCTTTTTTTTGGGGGGCACATGTGTGGCCATCAAGACTCAGAGCTGATGGCATTAGAGTGTCGGGCTTTTTCTCTTTGGATTTGTGTCTAGGCACAAGCTGGAAGTAAATCCACTTTTATTGTGTTTGGGCAACAGCTCCAACTGAGCGACCGACCACGTGCCCAACTGATGGGAGGGAGCGTGCTCGTGCACAGGGTCGCCTCCATGCATCTGGAAACAAACAAGGCGCTTATTCAGGTCACGCGTGCTGCCACAAAGTTCTGCCCCGGCCTTCCTGAAGACACTACGTGGGTGTTGCCATAGACACTCCCGGATGGGCGTTGTGCCGCGGTGCAGTGCCAGCACAGTTCCACACTGTGGCCATTACGCTATCGGGCTAGGCTGCCTAGCCATGGATATTGACACCATGCGCACATGGTGTCATGGCTGCAGGTTTGAGCCACCTCGCTGTGGCTTGCGGGTGTAGTGTCTCATGTGTGGCTCTGTCGTACAACCATGTTCGTGCCTCCTGCAACAGAATAAATTATAATTAGTTGCAACGTACGAACATATTTGCTAGTGTTTTCCGAAAAGGAGAAGACAAGGCAGGGGCACTGGGTTGGACTCGGAAAAGAGGGAAAAAGGCCGAGGCGTAGGCTTTTGTTGGGCTGCCAAGCAGCCGAACTGGCCTAGGCTGCTTGGGAGTTGGAAGGGAGGAAGGTCGCCGCGCGCCCTAGACACTCGACCGAAGGTGGCGACTGGTGAGATCTCGCTCGCGTGTGGGAGCGGTGATGGCGTACCACGCCAAGGGTGAACTATCGGCGAAGCGGCGGCTATGTAATGGTGTATGCGTGGACTCCACGCGCGTGGCCATATGCCTAAAGAGGTCCATGTAGGTGCTACTGGCGTTTAAGGCGAGGCGACGAGGATGGTTGCTCGGAGGCCAGGATGAAAGGGAGAGGTGAAAGGGAGAGAGGGCACCCGCCACGCGCGGGGTGTTTGACCGAAGGCATGCACGGCTCGGCACCGTCTTTGTGCAGCGTGATGCATGGCGTGAGCGAACCAGGCCCGTGGGTGCAGCCGGGCTGGGCAAGGTTTCAAACTATGCATGTATAGGCGGTTTGGGTATGGTCAAGGCTTCACCGTACTTTGTGATCCCAGATTTCCCTACGGAGAAGCTGGTCAATGAGGCATAGGTGATAGCGACCTGTGATTTAAGGAAAACCAAAGGCTTGGTGGCGTTTTGGGTCAACGCGTCAGCACACGTTCTCCTTGGTGTCACGTTGGTGGTGGCGTCATGCTGGCCCAGCTTGCAGACGAAGCAATGCTGAAGGTGGTCAGTGATAGATGCGCGACGAGCTCGGTTATGGAGCATGGCTAGCATGACGGAGTGGTAGCAGTGCCAGCCGCATGGATAGCATGACGGAGCTCAGTGATGGAGCATGGCTAGCATGACGGGCGTTGTTGGTGATTATGACATGGCCTTGCATCGATGGCCGGCGACATGCCGCGTACACGTATCACTGTATCGCTATGCTGTGGAGGTGATTATGAAGGTGGCGTCTTGGTTGTCGACGTGCTCGCCGCACAGGGCTCTGCTACTGGCTGCTCGAGAAATGTGCAAGAGGAGAGAAGGCCGTGCCGACGATCAACTGCATGCAGCAGCAGACGGAAGGAGGATGGCGAGGCTGAGCATCGGCACGGTTTGTGTGAGAGGAGGACGTGTTCGGTAACACTCCTCTCTAGAGTTCTCGCTCTTCCAGTCGAATCCCATCCGAGCACGCTACCATGGACGGCGTGGCTACCAATGCGTCCCCGCATGCCTAGGGTAGTGGGGAGCAAGGGAGTGGAGCGGGCTCACCTGTGCCTCAGTTTCCGGCCTTTGCATCATAGAGATGGGCGGGGAAAGCAAAGGTTGGGGCAACACACGCAGAAAACACCCCAAGGCTTCGTTTGGCAATACGTAGATTCAACCCAAGTGAGATGTCACCCACGCCGGTGTTGGGTTGACCCACGTGGGTCACCCTATCCCCCTAGCGGACAGCAAAGCGGAGCTAGCAGCGCCGGCGTCGTCGACGAGACGAGCGTGACTTTCCCAGCCACAAGTGGAGTTGAGCGATACCCACGCGGTTTGAGCGGGATTCAGTGGATTCGCTCCCATCCACGCTGTTCCCAAATGCGATTTTTGCTTGTGCGAGGGTTGCCAGCCCGGCGTGGGTCTGATCCACAGCTGACGGGGTTTGCCCCCCAAACCACGCCAATAGCTCCCTGTCCAAACGAAGCCTAATGTGGAGGAAACCAGATTGTCCGGCTGCGTACTAAAAACACAGTGTCTAGCGAAAGTTCGATTCTTTTCCCTGCCCAATTCCAAGATCAATAATCGAAGAATGATACAGTAATTTGGGTTGCAAACATGTCCGGCACTAGTACATAAATGGCTTCTAGTCCCGATTGGGAACTGGCTCTAGTCCCGGTTTTCCAACCGGGACTACGAATCCGGGACTAAAGACTACGAATCCGGGACTAAAGGTCCCAGCCTTTAGTCCCTGTCCAATAACCAGGACTAAAGGTCCAACCTCAGGAGAAAAAATAAACGAAATTTTAGGGAGACCACTCTTGCGGTGTGTGAGATTCAAACCCAGGACCTCTCTCCTCGCGCATAAATTCCTTACCAACTCAACTGTACACCACTTGTGATAGAGTACTGGACACTCTCCTTTTGAATTGACCCATGAGATACCTTTAGTCCCGGATGAAAAACCTTTAATCCAGGTTGGTGATACCAACCGGGACTAAAAGGTCACCCTTTAGTCCCGGTTGGTGTTACCAACCGGGACTAAAGGTTGAAGGACCTTTAGTCCGGGTTGGTAACACCAACCGGGACTAAAGGTTGACCTTTAGTCCGGGTTGGTATTACCGACCGGGACTAAAGGTGGCCTGCTGCGAAAGCCTGCTAGGACAGGGACCTTTAGTCCGTGTTGGTAGCTCCAACCGGGACAAATTCTTCCTTTACTCCCGGACGCAAAAAATACCGAGACTAAAACCCAAAATCGAAGCGGATGAAAGGTTATTTCTCTACTAGTGCGGCCAATAGACCAAATCAAGTATCAAGAACCATCCCTAACAAGCAATCTTATAGTTATATAGATGATAAGTTGATTTTTGATGGGCAGCTGGCAAACATACTTTTCCGTGCTTTTTTAAAGGACCCTACATGTCGTTCACTTTTTGAGGGCGGCCTGCCCTTAGGAATTACTCAACACACAATAAGAGAGTGAAGTTCGTTAAATATTTTGGCATGGGCACAGGTTTGGTGTGAGAGGAGTACATGTCTGATGCTCGACGAATAAAGATGCCCCTAGTTCATGTTTCAGTAACACCCCTTCTGGGGTTCTCCCTCTTCCTATCGAATCCCATCCGGGCATGCCACCAATGACAGCATGGCCACTAATGCCTTCCTGCGCGCCTAGGGCAGTGGGGATGTGCAAGGGAGTGGAGTAGGCTCACCCGCTCAGTATGTTTCCAGCCTTTGCTTCCGATGCGCCCCCAAGGCAAGTTGGCAAATGAGAACGAGGTGCAATGGAGGGACTGGATAGCGGGAAGCATCATCAGATCGAGCTGTGGGCGGGGAAGCATAGGGAGGGCAACACACATAGAAATCACCCTATGGTGGAGGAAACAAGAGTGTCCGGCTGCGGTGCACGGAAAACACGGTGTCTAGTGAAACTTCAATTCTTTTCCCCACTCGATTCCAAGATCAATTAATAATCGAAGAATGATAGAGTAGTTTGGGTTGCAAACACTACACGTCCTAGACCAAATCAAGTATCAAGAACGATCCCTATCAAGCAATCTTACAGATATATACCGAGCTAGATGGTAAGTTTATTTTTGACGGGCGGCTTGCAAATGCACTTTTTGCGTTCTTTTTTAAAGGATCCTTGTCTTTCACTTGACTAGGGCTGCCTGTGCCCTTAGGAATTACTCAACACATACAATTAGAGTGGAGTTCGTTAACTGTTTTGGCACCGGTGACTATAAATGTTTGTGAGAGCAGATTTAATTCGTGAATATAGCTAGAGCAAATTGTCGCAGCAGCCCCTTCGTGAAATCCAGACAAAAATATGTCAAGAAAGAAAACTTCATAAATAAATTATAACGATACCATAGTGGAACATTGGCTCAAGCCCCGGTAGGAGCAGGACCTGAGAGGAAATTACATGCACAACGAACCGTACAACGGCACAAGATATGGTGGGCACGTACATACATTATTCCCCTTCCATTTATACATGAATGGAGAGAGAGGAGAGGTGTGTACAATAGTACTCCTACTAGGACACACATCCTTTTATTGTACGCGCCCATGCATGCATCACCTCGGCCGGCGACTGAATGATGAAACATGCGCTGATGATAAGATAATAGTATAACTGAAATAACTAAATGGAAAATGTAACGTGGATCATCATGCATGCATGCGTATGCAAGCAAGCCATCCCACACGACACGGCGCGCTGGCCAGCCAGGCAGCAGGCACACACGACATGATACGGGGAGAGGGCTATAGCTGCGGCCTCCTTGAATGCATGCACTCACCTTTATTCTCTGCAACAACATACAATCATGAGCAAGGAAGTCGGAGCAGATTAAGCCATCCGATCCGAATCCATGCATGCATATTCTCAGAGGGTGACACAGAGGTTGAGACACGCCGCTTGAGCGGTTTGGGCGCATAACGCGACAGAGAGCAAACAACCAACGGTGCCCTCAGCGCAGATTGTTTCAACAAAGGTGGCGCACGCGGTTGCACAGATGCCGTCCCTGGGACAGGCAGTGACAGGTGAGGTCCCCACGCACAGCAGGACCAGCAGGACAAAGGCAGTTGCGGTGGCCATCTTCAGAGAAGCCATTGAGATTGACCGATGTGGCTAGCTAGTAAGCTATTAGTATCTACTAGAGATGGATGGATGGGAAGCTCGAATGACCAGGTGGCCGTCTGCGCTACTCTGATAAGCTTCGGGTGGCCGATCCAAGCTATTTATAGGCAGCAAAATCCTTTAACAATATAATTTTTGGTGGGGTGTAGTACACTAGCCAGAAAAGCAAGCATGACTCAGCTACTCGATCATGCATATGCATGTGAAGCATTGACCCTGCATTGTTAAGTTAAGATGCATGGATGCTGCGTGCTTAGTTAATTTTTCCTTCCACAGTAGCCTTGGGAACCCATAACAGAGCCCTCCGATCCGATCTGATCCGATTTTTTTTGAGGCCACGTACGTTACCAGCAGGCCACTTGAATCAACAGGCATGAGCACAGTTTACTACACATGGATGCTCCCTCGATCCCTTATTAGCCGCCCCAGGATTGTTCTGTTCTTGAGATTAATTATTACTCATGCAATCCGCGCGCAATAGTTCAAAACATATAATATATTCACAGATCTAGGGGAGGGAAATAATCTAAACCAAAGTTTTAGTACTTGAAAAGATGTGCAACTTTGTACTCGAAATTTTTTTATTTTAAATCTTTTAGGGCCTGAGGATTCTAGTTTAGAATTAACAATTTGAATTTTTTTTTTAAATGATCGTAGATGGAGAAATGAACTAAACCGATGTTACAGTACTCAAAGAGATCAAAAACTTTGAATGAGTTTAGGATCTCATATGCATTACACAACAATATTTATCAAAATGAATACAATAGGAACACATCAACCACATGGTCACAAGTGACTTTAACTTCTGATTTGTGACTGCGGGTTGGTTGGTGGGGCCCTCCCAAATTTGAGTAACTATTGCAAAAATATCCTATATGTACAGTAATTTTACAATATCAAATTATAAGTAACAATATCAAATACAAAAGAAATAAGTATCAACTTTACGTCAAAATGTAATGTGTAGTAAAAAAAAGGAGTGCCAAAAACTTGTTCTGCCGTAATAAAAGATCAACATATGTTGCGATTTTACATCGAGCACATAGACACTTTTATTAATTTGATAGATACCGCCACCGACATGGTGACTTGACATTTTTCTTTTGCAGGTTCACTTTGGTTTTTTATTAGTGACAGTCTGAAAACGAGCTTATTAATTAACTAGTGCCAAGTGGAAGGTAAAGATAGAGCTGGAAAATTGTCTTGTGGGTACTGCCATCTGGAAAATTGCCAAGTGGAAGGTTGTATTAAGATCCAGTTGTGACTCACATGCATGGATCCGATGAGTTAACACGTTATCCCACGGAGTTTGCACCGGAAGCAATAAAATACATACATCACACTACCGGACTCCTTTAGTTTGCCGAGTGTGCGAAACACTCGGCAAAATACATAAAACACTCGGCAAATTGTTCGCCGAGTGTAACACTCGGCGAATAGCACTCACAATAAACAGTTCCGGCAAAGCCAACTTTGCCGAGTGCCATTTATCGGGCACTCGGCAAACATTTTGCCGTGTGCAGTTTGGCTCTCGGCGAAAAGAAATGGTCATAACGCCAGACCCGCCGTTAACAGTGACTTCGCCGAGTGTCAAACGGCAAGGCACTCGGCAACTAATTTTTTTAAAATATTTTTGGTTTTTAGAATTCCTTGTCGCCGAGTGCTGCACTCGGCAAATGCTAAACATATGCCGAGTGTTGAACTGTCAGACACTCGGCAAACATTTTTCAAACAGTATTTGGTTTTTTTAAAAAAAATCTTTTCGCCGAGTGTCTTGGTGATAACACTCGGCAAATTGTGTTTGCTTTGCCGAGTGTCTTGGTCATAACACTCGGCAAAGCCTCAGAAATCTGATTTTTTTTTGTTTTTGCATTACATTTCACAGCACATATATATATATCACAAACATGAGATATGTTTCACAAACAGAGATATATTACACAGCACATATATCACATATATATATCATCTCCACACACCACATATCACATACATCACAATAATCCACAATGGTACACAAATGTCATACCACAATACCAACATAAGGTTCGAGTTTAAAGTATCCACCACAAGTGCATTACAAGCATAAGTGCAACACAAGGAATAAGTTCAACACATGAAAAGAAGCAAATCACCAATTAGACCACGGCGATGCTGCGGTGGGTCATGAGGTACATCGTTTGATGCCGCTGATTGACCCTGCACAAAGAATAGATAAGATTACTTGATAGCTGCAAAAGGAATTGTTGAGACATATATAGCTAGTAGCATTGCAATTCAAAAGGCAATACAACAAATACAACTGTGTGTGTGTGTGTGTGTGTGAGTGTGTGTGTGTGCTGGTGTGCTGGTAGCATTCCTCAGCTAACACAGCAAAGCATGCATAACACAGTGATAATGGTTGTCATTGTCACTTCTAAGGCGGCAAAGCTCCGAGTGTATCTTGACTGGACTAGGACAGATCCCATGAAGCGGAGGCTTAGAGAAACTGCAGCATACATTCAAAAGATCAAGGTGCTTGTACGAGGGAGAAGGCTGTCGCTTCAAGACAAAACGTTGGAGCAGTGGAGCCAAGTAAAATTTCCAACATGCTGGTGGCCAGAGTTAGCACCATCAGCTATGCTTAAAATACTATTTCCTTTACATGCAAACGTTACGCGAAGGAGTTGATCAAAAAGCAAGATGGATGAGCATTTCATCAATACCGTTAGTCCTATAGTATGATGCAAGATTACACTAAATACTCGAGCATAATGGGTAAGTTAGCGCAGCCAGACACGCTGCTACTGCTCGGCTGTGTATTACCAGAGTTAATTTTCTTGGTAGAGTTCGAAGCTTGCCATGCCAACCTTAATTTTAGTACAGCACAAAATAGTTGGACTGTATTATCTTGGCACAAATATGAGGGTTCACTAACGGACTCCTTGAGTGTGTGTGTGCTGGTGTGTGTGTGTGAGTGTGTGTGAGTGAGTGGACATGGGGATAGATGTACTCACAGGAGTGTCTTCAGGAGGACGAGGAGGAAGGAATAACGCTTGTGGCAGAGGTTCACCCATCTTCGCGCCGAGATTTTGCATCCACTGAAACATCTGCTCCTGCCTCTGCCGATCAGCGTCAATCTTCGCCTCCAACGCTATTCTCTGCCTCCTCTCTTCTTCTAGCTCGGCCTACAAAATTTCACCCTAATGTTACAATGGAAATCAAAGGTATGTAAGAAACAATGAACGACGACTAAAAGAGTAATAACCTGCAAAGTCTGCATGGCGTGTTGTGTACTGGTCGGCGTGGGCGTATGGGCGACCCTCGGCCCGTGTCGCTTGCTCGGATCGGGAGAGAGTGGGAGTAGTGGCCCGTGTCGACGACATCTGTCGCCAAGGCAGTACCTGCCATGCTTCTTGCCTCCTCCCACCCTCATGACAAGGTCTCCTTCGAAATCCTGGGTGCTTGGATCGTACTCCAGCCCATGGACCACCTTGGCCGCCGTTGTGTACTCGGTGAGACGGCTGTGGATGGAGGGATTGCTGTACGCCGAGGGGGGGTCCTCCGGGTTGAAGTCGATGGCGGACGTCGCCTTGCCCTTGTGGGCCATAGCCCATGCCTTCACCTGGGAGCAAGGTGCGCCACCATGTGACGCCGACTGTGAAACAAACAGTAAGATCATTAGAAACTATGCAGAAGCAAGCGTTGGAATACATAAATGAAGTCACGTACCCATCTCTCCGCGTACTCGGCAAGGGTAAGGTTCCCCTGATGGTGTGGTGCACCTGTCATCATCGAACGCCACTCCCGGCAAGCGGCGTGTGTCTCCGACCACTCCGGGGAGCACCATTTGTCCACCATCCTCCTCCAGCACTCGCCTTTACCGGCCACCCAATTTGGAGGCACCTACACATCAACAAGCATTTGTCATATAAGAACACAGTAAGTGTACTTAATCTCAGGAAGAAACTGTATTTACCAGCATGTATTGCTCTTTAGTCAGCATCAAGGTTCTTGAGAGGTCTTTGTCGATCTTCACTTCCTCGAAGACAGCTTTGTATTGCTGTACAGCCAGGATACGCGCCTCGTAGTGCATGTCCTTCACGAGCTTGTAGCAGGCTTTGTGAGCATGCCTCTCGGCCCTCTCCTCGTATCCCTCGTCACATCTGTAGAAATCCTGCATATAAACATTATGTATGTAGTCATTATTTCAAGGATGTGATAGGAATGCGATGTATTGAGCAAGATAGTGCGGGGAAGGCTTACCCACAGCTCTTTCACAACCCGCTGCGCCTTGTTGTCGAATTTCCTGCCTTCCCGATCTCATGCATCGGGGGCAGACGCGTAGTGCTCGAACATGTAGGCCGGCTCCACCCCTCCTGCCTGGTCCACCAGGCGGGGGAAGTGTTCCCTACACAGAAGACCCAGGATTCCACCGGGAAGGCGTTTGTGATCACCTGCAGCCACAACCTTCCATCCCTTGTCCAAGTGATTAACGAAAAAATATTAGTTTGTATTTTGCCATGTTAAACATATCAAAAGAAGTAGCGATAACATCTTAAGATACTTACCTTGACCCATTGGGGCGAATCACCGGCCGTTTCGTGAAAGGTATAGGCTGTTCCGGGAGACATGAAGGGCCTCGCAACCAGATCTTCGAAGCAGAGGAAGAGGAACCCCCCGCCGAGGGCTCCTCCTCTGCCTCGTGCTCGACCTCCCCCTCATGCTCGCCCTCCTCCTGCTCGGCCTGCTCATCGTGCTCCTCGTGCTGCTCCTCCTCCGCCTCCTCCTGAGGCGAGGGAGGTACAGGCGACGGCGGCCGAGACAGAATTTCGATAGCACCTCCCCGCTGTTCTCCAAATACACGCCCCGGTAGGAAGATTGTGTATCCGGAGAACAACAGGGAGATGCTATCGAAACTCTGCCTCGGAACGGAGTAGACCATAGAGACTAACCCCATCTACGCATCCTAGGGCTGTCCAAAAAACGTG